GAGTTTCACGCAGTACACATACACTTTGATAATATATAATTACTCCAGCGACAGGATAACACATGTCACATTGTTACAATTCAATTTTCAGATAAATTCTTCAAGTTCCGACAATGGCAAATTATTCGAGAGACATAAATGGATTTCGCTTCAACATCACATTTTATACATTTCCCGATTTCGCGATTAAATTATACAGCCAATAATACATTCTCGTGATTTATTCTCGTTATTTACCATCGTACTCGTATATCAACAATTTGACATTATCGAATGAAAGAGAGTTCTACTTTAAGGCGGATATTGCATAGAATTGAATTACCCGTTCATGTAAATTTGAACGAGTAACGAGACTTTTTAAACGATTATGCACACATGGTTGTAAACATGTACCGTATAGTTTTATCAAAGGCTTACAAGACCGTAACGTAATAAGACGCTGCTGAGGAGAATAAGAAATAATTTCCACGACCGTGACAAGCTTACTCGGGATGCGATACGCGTAAAGTAGTTAATTATTCTTATCGCGAAACGCGAATGAAAGAGGGGCGACCGACGAAAATACAAACTTTGCGACACGTTGCAAGTCATTAGGAACAATCGCCGCGTCGTACAAATCATTAAGAAAATCCCTTTCAGAGTTCCCTTTAGACGGTCCGTAATATTCGAAACAAGTTTATTTACAGTAGAAACTTGTGGGAAAAGAATCAGAATTCATACTGAAATGCGTGACACGTAAAGATAAATAGATTTCTATCTTGAATAATGCGGCCAATTATCGTCTAAAAAAAACGCGAGGGAAACATTAATGCATTCTTTCTTTCAATTGCATGCATCTTGCATTTTCCGGAAATTAATGTAATGTCGATGTATAATCATATATGTGACTCAACACCATCGAGCGAAAAAAAAACGTGGCTCGTTTCGCATAAAACTGCGGATATTCCGATAAGCAGCAACTAGATTAGCCGTAATGACATGAGATATTTGTATAATAGTGCTTCTTTTTTAATAGCGGATGTAGCGAGGGCGATGAAGAAGTAAACGATAATTTCCGGTAAAGCTTACGGAAAACGACTCGGCGATATTCCGTTTGAATTATTTCGCTTCTCTCCTCTTTTCTTCGCCTTCGGTTTTTGCGCTATTGTTTTTGCTCGATAGCTCGTATAACATTTATGATATTGACTTACCCTGGCGGTGCCTTGATATTTATTTAGCGCGTCGTTTCAGGCTTCACCGCATCTTTCATACTGTGTTAGCTACGAGAAGCTTGGTTAATTTCGCGGTGCTCTGAGAATAATTTGTGGCACTTTTCCGCGAAAGATACAAGTGTACTTTGTTCCGTGAGAGAGATAAAGAGATACGTATGCGTATCTACAACTGAATCATCTCTCAAGAAAGGATCTCTTTGTTTCTAACAATAGTGTCTAATAAGATGAATTAATGAACACGTGTGATTAATAAGCATGGTTGCGAAATTTTGCGATCTAGCCTTAACTCGAATTTTTCTAGCATCAATCTTGTATAAAAATTCGTAATAATTTATTTAAATTGAAAATAAAATATATATCCGTTTATTTATATACATATGTTGTTTTAGTTTTGTTTTAGATTTGATAAATTAAAATAATAGAAATGTATTTTTGTATCATGTATCTAAAAGAATAAAAATGTAAAATTTTTTTCTCGGACACCACATGTATCTTCAGTCAAATAATTGAGTATATATTATTTCCACTTAAGGATTAATTCTGTGATAAACAATAAATATTGCAAATTATTGTCCGCTGAAATAAAATTTAAATCCTAGCTTTTGAAACCAATTAATCACTAACTAAACTAGTTATCGGCGATACATCAATAGGGAATTAACAAACAGAGCGTACGCAAATATTTGATTTGTAATGCAATCGATTAGCACGGCACTGCACTAATGGTACGTTGAAATATGTATGTTCTGCTCTACACAATACCTATATCTGCAATATACGTAACAAATTAATTACAAAATGTTAATATAATTATAAAAATACTAATATAATTATAATGGAAATAGCTTTATTTCCTCACTGGGAATTAGTCATATCGTGAGATACTCAAAATTTCTTTATTATATTAATTCAATTTCGTTTATACAGAGTATGCTAGAAAATTCCGTCCATTTATTTTATTTTAATATTATAAAAATTTAATATTACAAAATTTTAAATGAATTTACAACCTATTTTTTGAGGGAGAAAATGTCAGAATATTTATACTATATACACACACACACACACACACACACACACACACACACATACGCAATCGCATAACATTAACAATTTAAATTAAATGTAATCCTAATTAAATATTGAAAACAAACTTTGAGAAAGTCCATTTAGATAAATAATAAAGTTTTGATTATATTTAATAAGTTAGCTAAATATCAAGTTTGCAATTACATTTTCGATCATTCATTTATTTTAAAGTATATTTTATCAGGTTGCCAGCACAAAACGTGCTAAAGTAAAATCTATTCTGATTCATAAGAAATTTTATGAATTAAATAAACAACGCTATTAAAACTCAGATGATTTTAGTTTCTATGATTTTTTACTAGTAACTGTAATTTTTCCGGTGAGTTTGTCTCTCGTGTAATAAAAATCAATATCGCAAACGCCAATGCGAATATATTGTCACAAAATAGATAAACTTCCATGAGACTAGCCATGAGCAAATATTATTCTATGTAAAATTTAAAATCAACTTTCAATAAAATAATTATGACAAAAAAAATTTTTATAAAATAAAATTCAGAGATACGAAAATAAACAATGCAATGAGAGAAATTGTCTCTCAGTGTTTAACCTGAAGCAAATTTAAATGGAACGTTAATATCACACTTAGATTTTGAAGATATCGGGATGTTTAAAAATAATATATAATAATAATGTTTAAAAAGAAATAATATATGTTTATTTGTATTCTTGTTTTCATGAAAAAAATATTTTGTTCCGAAATTTATTAATTTATATATGTTAAGAAATATATATATATATATATATATATATATATATATATATTTATATATATATATATTTTTATGAATTGTTAAGAAATATATATTTTTTAATCAATTTTATAAATAATATTATTTAAACAATTTTATATAAATTAATATTTAATTAATATAAATTAATATTTCAATAATCAATTCACACATGTGAATATTATATTAAATATAGAAGTATTTTTGCTCGCTCTTTCTTTCATGTACTGTATTTTGAAATTATAGATGCAAGATGGTATTACAGTTACCGTTATTAATAACTCGTGTTTTACGTGTTACATTCCCAAAATATACCTCATAATTTAAAATCTATTCGCGTTCTTCCAGCGTTATATCGAAAGAGAAACATTCGAGATTTAAAATACAAATATGCTATCGTACACATAAAATATATACACATTAATCCATTGGCAAAATTATTGAAATTGTTATTAATCGCAAATGTGTATTGCTTTTACTCAACGCTACATTTTCAGAAAATTGTGCGTTGCGCGAATCGACCTTCGCGCAAGGACACTACGTCATCTGACGCTCGCTCTCAATTTCGAGTCTTTTCTCGTTTGAAAAGGGTGACTTCGTCGCGTGACGTTTCGCAACGATTTTCGCGAGACTCGTTACGTCTAGCGCCGATTTGTCTTTTTACGAAACAAACGACACTCGAATCTTACGCCAAAAACTTCTCCAGAAATGTATGTCGCCGATTTAATAGACGGCGATTCCGCGTTTCTATTCACGGCATGGTCATCGACGCATCAGGTGTCAGTCACCTCGAGTCGTGAAAACGTCGAGTTTCGCGTGCGCGACGCATGTCATACGTACACTGTATACATCATCTTCGTCGCAAGAATAATGTCAATGCGACGCGAAAAAAGAACAACAATCACGCGTCGCGATAAATCCCGCGAACGTGTATAAATATGACAATCCTATTCTAGGAATAAGCGCGAAACTTGTCACAAAAATTTTTATCGTCAACCATTTCTCAAGATACTCGCTAAAAATCTCTCTTTGATTCGGAGCAGAAACAACAATCTCTACTCACCCGGTGTTGCGTTGATCGTGGCAATTTCGTAGCACTTGTGACCCGTGGTCGATGACGTCTTGGTTCGTCCCGCGCAACCTTTCACCGTTTCGCAATCAGTCAAGAAGCTGCGAGGATGCTTCAAATTTCTTCATCCTCTGTAGCGTCAATTTATTCCTCGAATCACTCGCGACGTGCCACGACAAGTCACTGTAAAACGCACGAGCGTACGCGGACACGCACGGACGCGAGCGTTACGGAAACCCTCCGAACGCTCCCATCGGTCAGCTGCTACTGACTGACTAGACGTCACCGCGACGTCGTCACGCCGCCGCGAGAACGGGCGAGTCGCGCGCCACCTCGTGGCACCGCGCGGCAGCTTTTGCGGTTGCGTCTCCCACTGACAGATGACGTTGTCTCGTACGCGCGCTTGCGATATTCTCGATTTTAAAAGCGACTCCGAAAAGAGATATTTCGATTAAATGATGATTACCTTGATCGTACATGCAAAATATGAGAAGCGCCCGATACTTTCTTCGCCATTCCCGATGCTATACTTTATCTAGCGATATTTATTAGTTATACTTATTAAAATTACTTAAAATCGTAATCGAACACGATGAGCTAAAAGTGATTCTTGTTACCGTAATGTTGTCTCGTAAATAACGATGACTATCATAGCACATAATCACATCGATCGAGTTCCTTCGATCTGCGATGCTCCATCGCGTAATCACGTGAATAATTATCACAAGCGTTTCGATGTTATAAATAACCGCGCACAACGCCAAAAACACTGGATGTCTCGACTTTGGACGCAGATACATTGTGGTCCAGTTCCGAGATTCCTTGCATTTTAGGCGAATCAAACATGGCAGTCGTGACGTAATCAGCTATTTTATATTAAACGTGTATGCATACATAGAATGTAAATATATATTAACGTACGAGTGAGAGTGATAAGTTTGAACAAACTCTCGCGAGCAGCACTACTGAGAAAATATTTTCAACAAAATGTCATGAAAAGGTAAAAAGACGTGAGAGTGGCGAGAAGCATTTGCTTTTCTTTTTTTTTTTTTGCGCGCGAAATCCACACAATTTTAAAAATAATCCATTGCTCAACGTAATCATTAAAACATTAACATTTCTCCATATTTAAAATATGTTACGCAGTTTATAATATTTCCAAGAGAAACGAATTCATTATTAAATGAATATTAAATGAAGATTGAATGAATATATTTGCTGATAATTAGGGGTAAGAATTATTTAGTGGCATTCGCGTTCTCTCTTCTTATATTGTCGTATTTAATAAAAACTAACGCTCGAATAATTCACATTAAGACGAACGGATTTAATATTATATATATTCGCGTGATATAAACTCGGAATCGAAAGTCGAGGTCATCTCTGCCTTTATTTGTGTGACGTGTGTATTAAGAACGCTTGAAAGAAAAAATGTAAACAGTTCTTCGTCGAAACAGTTTCTATCGATATATTATTCTCATAGCGAAGCAAAGTCAAGTCAGTCGTAGAATTTGGTGGTTGAGAGCAAGTACATGTACGATCGGAACGATAAAAATCCTCATCATATTAGCAAGCATCATAAAGAGATATTAAGATGAGTGAAACGGCAAAAATAAAATGCGGAATTTTGACCGGTATGTACGTGACAGGTGTATTTTCCATGTAAAATATATTATATGCATGTAGAAAAAAATATGTGCTTATATGCTATAAAACCCATTTTAAAAGATACGTTACGTATAAAATATTTTCATTACTTGTACGCTGCGAAGTTTAAATATAATCATGTGTCTTATCAAATATCTTTGATTGTTATTATAATTTTATATAGCATAACTATTATTTACTTTTCTAATGTATTAAAATTACTTTTTTCTACAATTAATGCAAGTATTTGAATCAAATTATAATTTAAGAAATACATCTAATTTATAGACTGTGTTTATCATATATTTTCTAAATTAATAACATTTAATTATTATAATTATTTATTGTATAACAAAAACACATACACACGCATACAAATATATATATATGTATATAAAGTATTAATAATTTTATTATAATTACGTAGTATATAACGGAAAAAATGCACAGGAAGATTTAACAGCATATAGTACAGAGATGAGCGGTTTGATAGATTATATTAAAAATACAATAAAGCTAAAATGTGACGGAGAAATAATTGATACATTGCTACTATTTAATAACATGATGGTAACTAGATATTTTAAATAATTTTAATTTTCTTTTTATGTTTTATTGTTAATGTTTTATGTTATGTTGTTATGTTATGTTGTTATGTTCAATATATTATATTTTACTTTACTTATATGACATAGGCACAAATAAATTCTTGGTGCAATGAACTTGTTGATACTATTTTTATTATTGGTCATCCATATTATTCTAATAAATATAAGAATTTGATGGGAAATCTATATAATAAAAATATAAATAGTGCTATAGAAAAAGTTGGAAAAAGTTTGAATAAACATATTAATAATGAAAGATACGCATATATATTAGAAGAAATAAAGGCGAAATTAGAACCCAAGTTTCATCGGTAAAGTTTTACATTTATATACTTTATATCTTTTTATTTTTCAAATTATATAACAATTTAAATGCATTTCCTCAGAAGTATATGTGGACTTCTAAAAAAAACGCTAATCATCAATTTATTTGGCTTCAATAAAGAAGAAGCAGTAATATGCATTGATGTAATTGTAACAATAATGGAGATTAAATATGTAAAACGATTAATAAAAGAGGAAGAAGAGAATAACGAGAAAATAAATCAAGCTACTCCATCTTCTTCAAAAGAAACTACTATAAAAGAAACTACTATATCTTCTTCAAATAATACAAATCAGGTAAGATTTTTTTTGCTTTAGAAACAATAATAATTTTCTATATGCAATTAAATATTTTTACAGGCAGAGAAAGATGAGATCAAATCCCATAAAAAATCATATACAGACAAGGTAAGACTTACATATCAAAATAAAATAATAAGAGAGTGAAAGATTGTATGTGAGAAAAGTGATTAAACATGCAATTATATCTCTTCATAGGAAACTGACTTGTCGGATGACATGTGTAAATTTGTTGTTTCTCTTTTCTCTCCTATAACGGAGGTAAAGTATCTTTCATATCAAAAACAATAAAGTAATGACAGAAGGAAAGAGAGAGAAAAAGATTTTATGAAACCATATATGCAATTTAATCTTTTTTTAGGAAAAAAAGGACATGAATAAGGAAAAATCTCCTCTTGCTCCTGGCAAAATGATGGAAATGGTAAGGTATTTTCTATATTAGATATAATGAAATAACGAAAAATTTTAGAATTGATACACACACACACACACACACACACACACACACACACACACACACACTTGTGTTTACATACAATTTGATCATTTTATAGATGGAAGATGAGATTAAAGTAAAACGTTATAGCAATCTTATTTTGATAAATTTACAGAAAAGTTATTTTCTAGAAATAACAGAAATAACAGGAAACAAGAAATTTTATGAAATTTTAATTATTTTAAATTTTTTTAGATAAAATTGGATCAAATCGCCAAACATTACGAAACATTTCCTAGAGCTTTATCTGCAGAACATGTAGAATATTTTTTTATTAGAAACTTTAAACAAGAGAAAAAAAGAAATTTTAAATAAGATTTTGCAATCTTATAATTATAATAATTAAATTGCATGTATACAATCTTAATATTATAATTCTCTTTATTATAGATCCCTTTACAGTTGGATGTTGCGAGTGAAGTCACTACTGGCGCGAAATCATCTTCGCCTGAGACATTTAAAACTGAGGTAGGCAATTTTTATCTCCTATATTAGAAATGATAAGAAAATTTTTATAAGATTATGTACAATTAAAATTTTTTACCATTTTTGTTTACAATTAATGATCGTAATTGCTTTGTCAAGACACCATCATCGCCTGATGTATCAATGATGGAGGAGGTAAATCATTTTCTATATTAAACATACATATATATATATATATATATATATATATATATATCTTTATTATATATATATATATGTATATATATATATATATATATATATATATATAATAAAGAGATTTTATGAAATTATAAATGAAATTTTAAATCTCTTCACAGATGAGCATCTCAAGTCCAGACGAGGAATCTTCTTTGCTTGAAGTCGAGGGGGAGGTGAGCTATTTGTTACATTAAAGAAGATAAAAGAAATATTATGCGAGATTGCATATACAATTAAATTTCTTCACAGAAACAGGAAGACATAATTTGTCAACAATATCCCATGATTGCTGTAAAAGATGCATTGTTGAAAATACAACGAAAAGTAAAATACGGTAGACACGAACCATTAAGTGATTCTATAAGGACAGATGATGCTTATGGCAGAATATTGGCCGACCACGTATATTCCGATTACGATGTGCCAGCATTTAGATGTGCCACTAAACATGGATACGCAGTATTGGCAAGTGATGGTGAAGGCAGAAGAGTAGTACTGAGCGAAACTACAGTAAGTTGTGATGTTAGAAGCTATACAAAATATACAACAATAGACCAGAGTTAAACAAAAATTTTTTGCAGTCCGATCCAATATCTCTCATTCCTGGGACATGCATGTATGTGAAGAGCGGAGCGCGTGTACCTAACGGTGATAATTTAATTACAAACTAATTTAATTACAATTAACGAGTCTCTCTGCAAATTAATGCTTCTCTCTATTTGCAGTACAGAATTAATTATTATTTCTGTATTTGATTCCAGGAGCAACAGCGGTTGTGCCAATTAAGGATGTAAAACGAATAATAGTATATGATCACGAGAATGATTTAATTATGATAAAGATTAAACCAGAATTCGGGCAGAATATTAAGTATGAAAAAAATTCAATATTTTTTTATATATATTTTTCTATATATTTTTCTATATATATATAGTCTTTTTCGAAATACTATCTTTTTAAATTTCTTATATAATTTTTGAATATTATCTCTTGAAATGTTGTTTTCCTTTTTATGTGAACGCTTTTTATATATTTTAAAGAGATATCGGTAACGATATACAGAAAGGGAAAGTAATTATATACCCATTCACACGTATCGGTCCAGCGGAATTAGGACTTTTGGCGGCTACGGGTCGTAGAGAAGTTCGAGTCGTTAAACCTGTATCCATAGGTATATTGTCAATTGGAGATTTATTAGAGGAACCTGGAGAGCCTTTAAGACCGGGATATGTTTATGATAGCAACAGAATAAGCCTAATCGCGCTATTAAAAGATCAAGGTTTTAATTCGATAGTGGATTTCGGAATTGTGACGGATGAGTGAGTGCATCGATATTTATTACGTATTTCTTGCCATTCTCATTATATTTGATTTAATGTACAAATGATTAATATTTTTATTATTTTATGATTAATGTAACAAAAAAAATGAAAAATTAATAATTGACATTTCGCAGTATACTACCTATAAAGATGAAAATCAAAGACGCTTTAAAGCAAGTGGTCGTACTCGTGACAATAGGCTGCTCGAACGATAATGATTTATTGAAGCCCATTTTAAAGAATGACTTTGACGCCACTATACATTTTGGTACTTTTATTTCTGAACACTGCAGTAACAAAAAATATAAAAAGACGTGGCTCTTTGGGATATATAGAATTATACATAAAAAGTGTCTCAAAAATTTCAAAAATAATAAAATTAGAGTATAAAAGTTTAAAATAAATAAATATAAATAAATAAATAAACTATTAAAATATTTATCAGTTCCATACAAGTAGCAATTTTTAAGATATAAAAATTTAAACTCAAATATAAATGACAATTTAGCATTAAATTACTCTTTATGATTTAAAAATTATTTCTTGGAATAAAAAATATCAAATTTAATGTTTCAAACTTTCATGCAATTTTATTATCCTCGAATTTCGTCAGACCCTGTATACATATATTTTTTCAGGAAATGTATTTCTGAAACCGGGAAAGTCGACAACGTTCGCAACATGCAAGTTTGAGGACAAACTGAAGTATCTTGTATGTCTTCCTAAAAATCCAGTGTCTACTTCCGTTTCCGCGCATCTATTCCTTTTACCTATCTTGAAGAAGTTGCACCGCATCGGGACCCCTTGCCAAATTCCAGCTCGCGTAAGATTCAAAATTTGAAATGAAAAGAGATATGTGCGCATATAATTATAATGTTATTATAAATCATATTGCAGATACATGATCGGTATGTCTTGCATTCGCGTCCTAGAGCGGTATGGGCGACTTTAAAATGGAATGAGGAGGATAATTTCGCGACGGCTTTTAGCAGAAAAAATCTCGACAGTGATAAGTCATTGAGCAGTCAAGCCGCTAATGCGCTCTTACTGTTGCCGCCACAAACAGAGGATCAGAAGGTGATGTGTGAGTCATTTGTATCTGCGTATCCAATCAAATAGTTAACAGACGCTTCTAATGGATTATCATCAATAGCATTTTATGACGAAACAATGGCGTACATTTAGGTATATTCGATTACGTATATACTATATGTATATATGTTTATAATTAAAGTGTTCGGTAATAACCATCGAAAATAGCTAAATAGTACAAAACTTTTCTATTCAATTTAACACGGTCCACCTGTACACGAGAGGTGATACGATTATTATTGGACACATCTTGTATATATTAATATTGAAGAAAACAATTATTTTATAATTTGAATAATGCAACTTTTAAATAATGTTGTGTACGAGAAAAAGCTTGTCAATATATCTCGTTTTAATTGGAGAAAAAAATGGATATGTTACGTTGCTTTATGTAAAATTTAATTTAAAATCATTTTCTCTTTAGCGAAGACAGATAACTGAAAGATTACAAGCTTCTCAAACTTCACGACTTATTGCTTGGTAATTCAACTTCCAAGTAAAATTCTATTATATATATTCGAAATTATGTACACACACAGACACATACACACACATAAATATATATATATATATATATATACACATATATATATGTATTGTACTATATAATATTACATAATATGTGTACCATACTCTACATATATATATATTATATAAATTAAATATTATATATACCATCATATATATATATATATATATATATATAAAATACATTTATTATTACATATATATATACGGAGTGTCTGATAATAATCATCGAAAATGGTAAACAGGATTTTTCTATTCAATTTATTAACACGCTCTACCTATACACAAGAGTTATTACCGGACTTATCAATATTGAATAAAATAATTTTTGAACAATGTATAAGAAAGAAAGCTTACAGATATATTTCGTAATTGGTGAAAAGAATTTGATTCATTACGTTGCTTTATGTGAAACTTTTGAAATCATTTTCTCTTTAGCAAGGACGAGTCACTGAAAGATTTTAAACTCCACGACTTATTGTTTCACAACTTATTGCTTCACGACTTATTGTAAACTTGGTAATTCAACTTTCAACTAAAATTCTATTAAAGACTTCTGTCAAGACATTTCAAATTGAGGAATATATAATAAGTCGTTTGGTTCTCTAAAATTTCATTTGTACGAAAAACGTGCTTTAATTAATTTGCAAGATTTATACTTCAAAAATTATTAATGCTTTTAAATATTAATATTATTAACATTTTAAACATTAACATTGATAACTGATGGTTTTTTAATGAAATTTCAGAAAAAAATGTTTATATATATTTATATACTTTCTTTCAATTTTGAGTATAAGTGTCATAATGTAATTTTAATTTCCCATTATATGTATTGTGTAACATGATGATAACTTTTGTTTATCATTTTATCATTGAAATTATTTCTGTCATCAATAAAATATGACATTTTTATATATTTGTGTCTAAAATACATTAATAATTATATTTTACCATATCATATATGTGTTAGTAATGATGTTTATAACACATTAAAAAATGTTTCAAATCTTTGCAATGTTATAATTCAACATATAAAATGTCACCTAAAATTTCTAAAATGAAATATAAGAAATTATAATAATATTGTTTCAACAGAACAAGAAAGAAAAAAAGAAAGATAAAATCAGATTAATATCACAAAAGTCGAATCGCTCTTTTAATTTATTCTAATATTCGAGTCATGTGTTTGCATTAATATTTTTTCTTATTTTATAAAACTCCGTTTTATTTAGATTCTTTGCATTTTGCTTCCTTTCTGCCGTTCCTAATAGCAAATATAAATAAAAATTTGTTTCAAAGTGGGGAATGTAGAAAAAAAGACTGCAAAACAGAGCGAAACAAACAGATGTCAAATGAATTCCAAAGTTAAAAGACGGAGGTGGTAATCAAAACGTTGACATTAGGATCGTGACGTCAGGTCATCCATCATATATGCGCATAGCCATCCAATAATTTCGGCGCGACTTAGAACACCAATCACGAGTACATAATCGAATCGAATCTACCCAGAAGGAGCCGAAGGAGATCGCATGCCAAATCTTCCCCCAATCTCTCTTACTCAACAGCTGATGATCTGTCAACGGAATATTGCATGTTTATGTGCGACTGGAATTCGATATCAGTGACAAATGAGAAGCCTCGTAACTGATATAATGTAACTTGTTACACATGTAATATATGTTTGACATCGGCCTTGTAATCTGTTACAGCATACGATACAAGTTACATGCCATCATGTAAATATGCAGCTTGGCAATGTAAGACGAAGTGAGATTAAGTGACATGTCTTCATTTTATTCCGAGTCTTTCGGGAAACAAAGTTAACGCAAATATATCTCCAATTGTAGTAAGAAACATGTGCGAGCATCATCGATGAGGCATCATTTTTTTCACTATTTATTGAATTATAATTTACTTAATTTAGGTTATAGTTTAGAAGGTTTTTAATATAAACAGAAAAATTCTGCAAGTCGTCTATAAAAGTTGCATGAATTTAACGTGAATATCGTGTAAAAAATGGAGGGAAAAATGACACGTGGTCAAATATGACCATCTATTTAAATAGATTTTCCATCTTTGAGTATGTTAAACATATTTGAATTTGAATATATTTATAAGAAAAATGTCGTGTACGTCTTTTGATGAAATTAAAAAAGGTCATTTGATAAAAGTGGCAGATATTTTAAATGGATGTATGTAGGATATGTTGTTGAATATGTGATATTTCAGCGATAAGACTTCTACAAAATTCTGAATAAGTGCAAAGGAATGGAGGTGTGGAGTCTCAGAGCTCAAATCGATAGAACATTATACAAGAAACATCATCATGCGAGATTTTTCAATATGCTTGGCTTACACATTTATTAATCCTCCATAGAAGATTTAATTTTAGCCAATAATATTTTCTGTCGCTAATCTTCTATCCTGCTGTGGAGTAATCCTCAGTACGTTTCACTTTATAGTAAAATAAAATGGAAAACTTCCTAGAAGAAAAAACACAACATAAAAAATAAAAGTATTTTAACTAATATAGTATTTCAACTACATTTAATTTTGAAATAATTTTATTTTATTGCATTTATTTAATAATGAGCTTAACATATTACATCTATCTATTTTTCCAAAAGTATAATATAAATTTAAAAATGTATATATTTTTATTATTAGTATTAATTTTATATATTATTCAGAAATATTATATTATTTTGTAAGAGATGGAATAAAAATATTTGATAATGCAGTAGTTATCCCCCATAGGAACTTTCTAAAGAGGCTAAATAAACATTGAATTCGAGAAATGACCTGTAGGTAGATTAAATGATGAGCCTAATATCGGTTTGATACGTACTTGACTTGGATTTCAGATAGGAAGATTAAAAACTGGTAAAAGAGAGTTATATTTTATGCACACAGTATATTTCTTTTTTATTAATTCATATAACATACAATCCAATAAATAAATAAACATATTTTTTTATTTTGTGCTCTAATTTATGTTAAATTTATATATTCATGTTCATTCATTAGTTAAAGTTATTATAACATTACAACTTTTAATTATAATGATATATTAATTAGATTACACATATTATTAGGGACACCGCCAAGATTGGAGAAAGATAGCATTGACTTTATCAAGTGTATCTGCCAAAATATCAAAATATCTGCCGAATGATTCTCCGATGTCGTTTTTGTTTATGAATAATTATGTGTGATTACCGCCTGAAAAACAAGTACCAACATATCTGAACATATGCACTGTAACTTACACGTTACGAAGGAGATACCGAGTCCACAATATTGCCCGAGCATAGAGAGTAAGATTCCAAATGCCTAGGTATCAAATGTGGTTGAAGCCAGAAGGTTTGGACTCGCCGTTAATTTATCCAAGTGGATTATCGTGCACCCTGCCAGAAGAAAAACAAGTGGAATTCGTTAAGTGTATAAATATTAATTTCCAGGATTGAAAGACGTTCGTCTATTTAATCCTCTTAATTTTGAGTTTATATATCTTAAATGTTGAGTAATTTAAAGACTATGCAAAATTCATTTCGATTATTCGTGCGCAAATTTCATATTGACGATTTGTCTCAGATTTTGGAAAAGATCCAAACTGGATATTTAGCGTTTATTTGTTAAGTACAATATTTTAAATTAATTTTTATATTATGTTAAATAATTATTATTATATATCTATGTGTGCAATCATGTTTAAGCTTTGCATTTGCATCTGCATTAGCGAAATCTGATTATGATGTTGAGTATGATAATATAGATCTTAGAGAAATGACCTCCCAGTTGGACCCTACAAAGATTTCGAGCCTATTTTCTGCTGCACAAATAAGTCGTTGCTGGTGTTAATACCTAAGGTGATTGGCACATCAATTAGAAAAATTTCCTAGAAAGTAAAGAAAAAGTTTGATATAGATTATCGTATTTTTCAAGTTAGTTGTTGTGAATCCTTAAAAAAAGAAAGAGAAGTAATTTATAATCTTTTATATCTATAAATGATTTTCGTGTTTTATTATTTTCCAATTATTGCCGATTGAGAAGATCTGATACACAGAGATGCTTTTAAATATGTTTTAAACAAAATCGCGTTTATATGTATATTTAGGTATTTAAGAAACTACTGCTTCAGATAAGCCAAACTGAGAGTATATTGGCGTTCTCATTGACAATTTAACAACAGAGGATATCAATGAACTGTATAGAACGTTCATTAGTAGATCGGAGTTTCGATTGAATCTGAGATTGAAAAAGAGAAAGAGAGATAAATAAAAATAGAAAGAATGAGAGATCTTGAAACGGATCGAAATTTATGATGTGTCTAGCACTTGAAAGATATTGTTCGACATATTTCGAAAAACGCACATCTTGCCTGAATTTAATTATATACTAATGGATCGATGCAAGCAACTTGTGCATCGAGAATCACTCTGCATCTGAATACCGCCAAATTATAATTTTGGAAAAAGGCGAGACGCGTCAAATGTCAAAGTAAAACACCTATAGAAATTGACAATTCGATTAGATAATCATTAAAAGCGCGATTATGTATTTTTTTAAATTATCCACAAAATTATAGCTCGGATAAAACGCCAGAATGTTAAACATTTTTATCTGTTTAAATATTATTTTTCAAGAGGGAGAAAATCGTGAAATCTCTTAATCAATGGAAAAGACTGTAATATTTCTTATAAATCCATTCCCGGTATTATTTGAATAACAATGTC